TATTTCTGAAAAATCTGAAATGGACAATACCTAGTGGGAATCTGCCCCTTATGATTTTTTTTTGGGGGGGTAGGGTGGGGGAGAAGATAACCCACTATGAATCAGAAGCATTAGTCTGAGATCTTGTAAACTGATTCAGACATAGTGTGATGTCTAAATCTTTGATTCATTGGGTTACATGCCGTAGAATATTATTTCTACCAAAAGAAAATAAAGTTTTAGAATTTTAGGATCATAAGAGGACTGTTCTTTGTTCTCAGATAATAGGATATAAAGCAGAAGCCCTCTTTAGTCTCACCTTGGGTTTTCCCTCTTCTTGATGAGTACACTGGTGTGAAAATTCCTTTTGCCTTGTGAACATCTTGGGAGTCATCTTTCCTGGGCTGGAGATAATGCCTGTGGATGAAGAAGTCTTGGATCTCCTGCTGACACAGTGCGTGTGCTAGGAGGGTTTTGTACTTGAAGAGTTTGTAATCTGGCTGTTTGAGTCAACTTTGTGTTGTTGTGATCTAAATACCTGACAAGAACAATTTAGAGTTGGGAAAATGTTTTGGGGGTTCACAGTTTCGGAGGCTCAGTCCATAGACAGCACTGCTCTGGGCCCAGTACAGTACATCATGCGGGAAAGATAAAGTGGAGGAAAGCAGCTCAGCTTATGCTGGGGTCAGAAAGCAGAGAGGGAGAGAGGGGGAAGGGGCCACATGGATGGAAGATGTACCCTTCCAAGGCAGGCCCCCAGTGACCCATCTCCTTCAGCCGTACCCCATCTGCTTACAGCTACCTTCCAGTCAGTCAATTCAAGCGAGGATGGATTCATTAGGTTACAGTTCTCATAATCTAATCATTTCACCTCTGAATATTCCTACATCAATACAGGAGCTTTTCGGGGTGGGCGTGGGGGCACTTTGCATCCAAGCTATAACACTGGTCTAATCCTTGATGGGTTTTATTTTCATATTTGGTATTCTGAGGAAGAAGACAGCCTTGTTCACCAGGAATTTTATAATGCAGGAGGCACTTTGATAAGAACTGTGCAAAAAGTGAGTTCACATTCATCATTCTCTAGGAAAGGGCACATTGAGGGTTGGTCAGCTGTGTCAAGACCTGCTCTGGAAGGCTGTCAGGAGGAGGCAGGTGATATGCACCTGAAAAGACAGACTGGGTTACTAGGCCTTTTGGGAATGAATATAAGTTAGGATTTAAAAGATCCAGGGACAACCCAATGAAAATGGTGTATTATTTAATATTTGAAGTTTGAATGTGTATGCTGATTTACCTAAAGTCAGTTTACTAATTAACATCACGGAAGTTTGGGGGAAATTTTGCTTGAATTGAATTAGTTTTGATTTCATCAAAGCTATTTCACCTATCAGTTCTGGGAGAGTCATCTGTTTCATTCTAAATGTCAGTTTTGGGTGTGATTCATGGTTCAGACACTGAGCACTTACCAAGTACTTAAAACACATGCAAAATATTCATTTGACTGAGCAAGTTAACGCACCTGGGAATTAGGAGAAGTACAAAAGCAACAACTATACGGAAATTTTTTTAGTATAGAGAAACCTGCCTTATCTATAATTTATAAAATCCTTGACTTGGAAGACATATACAAAAGCTGAATCTTGAAATGAGTTACAAGGTCTCTCCTTCCCCCAAATCATAGACCCAAAGTATAAAAGCAAAACAAAAAGAACCTCACTCTCTGTCAGGGTTATGCTGCAATGATTAGGTGAATTGACTGCAGCTACAATAATTTACTAAACTCAATGTAAAATTAAGTGAACTAAAAAAATTAAAATTGGGTAAATAAAACTTCAAAGAGAAATTAAAAAATTATTTCAGTAGCTCCTCCACTATGAACTAATTTATTAAGTTCCTTTGGGAGTATTTTTGTTTTATTTTTTGTTTGGGTGATTTTTGTTGTTGTTTTCGTGTTTTGTCTTTTGGTACATTGGGAAATAATAGCAGACTGACCGTTTGTGGAACTTGTCTTTTGGCAAATTGATTTTCAGAGAAGTGGCTTTCAGAGAATTGGGTTTCCCTGAATGACCTAAAGCAGCTTTGGGTCCTCATACGCTTCACGCACACAGGTCTCTTCAGGGGGTTGTAAAGCCCTGGCCATGGAGTGCAGCTGGCTGCTGTCCTCTGAGGCCTTCGGGCAGTCCACAGCCCACCCAGAAGCCATTCCTAGGTGTTTTGCACAGGCTGTTGGGTGGAACTCAGATGACCAGCTTCTAGAAGATATCCCACCCTCCTCCTGGACCGCCCCCCCAGGGGACTGCGCTTGATGGGGCTCCCAGTCCCTCTCAGGCTCTGCTGGGAACAGGAGGTGGCCCTTCTGAGCACATGAATTCCACTCCAGGTCCTTTTCAGCACCTCCCTGAGACCTGAAGAGAATCACTTCCTCTCCCGGGTCCTCAGATTCCCTTTTTGGTCTCCTGAGACAAGAGATAAAGAGAAGTTTCTGCTTAGTTGTTTTGTGGCCCCGTGAAAGCCCTTCTGGGAAAGGGCCTGTCAGTGATAAACGAATGGCCTCCAATATCCTGTCTGCCCCAGACACATCATTCACCTGCCTGGGGGCAGGAGGGCCTTCATTCCTCTTCTTTGGTCAGGGTTTCTTAAAAATGGGGATGGTCTTCTGTCTGCCTGGCCATTCCCCAAACTGCATCAGTACAGAACTTCCTGATATAGCCCCCTCTCGTCCCTCCCCTGCCCCCTGGTGTGGTCTCACAGCCTTCCTGATACCAGGTGGGATGCAGGCCTTGACTCTGGAAACCCAGATATTTTTCCCAGGTAACGCTCCATGCTCTGATAGGGACAGAGACCCGGAACTCAGTCCGGGATTCTCTCTCCTTCGCCCACACCCTTGGCAGTGCTACACAATTAAGAGATTTGTCAGGAACACCCACGCTAGTGCTGAGCACAATAGGTGTCAGAAACTGCCCTGGGCCATGTATGGAACCCCAGAGGCAGATGGCCACTCTGGAGAGCACTCTCTGTAGCACACTCCAAAGGCTCAAGGTCCTGCTCAGTGGGGCTTCCTCAGGAGTGGGCTCTGAGTCATCTCTAATGAGGTGCAGACATGGTGCCAGGTGCTGCCCTCATGCTGTCTGGTGGCTCAGGTGTCAGCATGTCATCTTCCAGGTAAGAAAACTGAGACTCAGAGAGGTGAAGGTATGTGCTCATGGTCACATTGGTAACAAGTGGCCATCGAGAATTTACAGACTTTCCTGGCTCATTCCAAAGGCCATGATGAATTGACTGCCACTAAAATGGACGTGACCATTTAGTGGGATATTAAGTGACCACTAAAAGCAATGATGTGCATCTCTACTATTTTTATAAGAAAAGGTGTCCATAGACTCTGGAACCATCTGTGTGATACCATATCTGGGAAGGGAAAAGTATCTACAAAGAGGCGGATGGGAATGGGTAGAGACAAAAGAAAAAGGCAGGATACATTCCAAAATATTTCCCAGTGGGTGAGCATGTTTTCCAGTACCTCTCCTGGTGAGCTGGCCCTCCTGCTCTCCCTACCTTGGCCTAAGAACCACAGTTAGAACATAAATGTGCCATCATGGATCATTTGAATTAAAATTTCTCTCAAGCAAAAACAGAAGAAAACCCCATTTCACAGAGGATGAAGCAGAAGCCTAGGCTTGTTAAATGACAAGCTGCCTGTTGGTCTCATGTTCACAGCCACACACAATACCCTACGCCAAGTTCAAAGAGTGGCCCCGCTCATGGCCAGCATGCCCGTGGCAGCCACTGGCAGACCTCAGTCTTCCTTCTCCATCATCCTTCCTCTCCCCAACTCCTCTCTGGGATGCACTCTTCAGACAGAAGCTCTAGAAGCAATGTCAGAGCCTCCCAAGGCCAGGAGGTCCTCAGAGAACAGCAGAGACCTGCACTCAGCCTTGGAAACACCTCAGCTTGGGATTTTTGCCCTTGTCATCTAACTGGCAAGTGGCCCCCACCTCCAGGGCCACTCCCCACACTTTTCCCATCACAGGGCCCTGATTTCCGGCCACTTCCTGACCATCTGGCTTCCATTCATGCAAAGAGGGTCTCATCTTCAGGACCCACCTTTTAAAAATATCTATAGCATCCTGTATTTCAGGTATAGGACACATGTACACAAAGACACAGAGACACATGCAAATACATACACAGACACAGAGACATGAGCATAAACACAGAGGTACACACACACACACACACACACACACATATCCACACAGACCATACACAGATTTTCCCTTTATTGCAGACACACACAGAGACACAAACACAGGCAGACACAAATGTATAGAGACACAACCCATCTTTTTATTTGAGGTTAAAACCCAACAGGCTGCATGCATTGGACCTTATCCTTCCTTGATGGGCATAGGTGGTGCTGCCCACCCTGGTCTCAGACTTGGCCTGGTCCTCACCCAGGCAGATCCTAGGGCCATGACACCTGTTTTCTCCATCCTCCCCACCCCCATAGAGCCACCCATCTTTCCCTTTTCTGGTGGTATCAGGGGAGGCAAGAGGTGGACCATGGGGCTTACTCAAGCCAGTATTCCACCAGGTCCAAGTGAAAAGAGGGACTGAGCCCCAAAAGCATCTCAAATATACTGTTTGTTTCCCTTGGACTGTCTACAATCAAACACCAAGCACACAGCTGGACTTATCATTCCTTTTATTTAAACCATTGTGACAGCCCTATGAGGTAGGGAACACCCATTCCACTGCAGGGAGAGGGGGAGGGACCAGTTCAAAGAGGCTACCTTCTGCCCAGGGTCTCAGCGGCAGAGAGGAGCTCGTGAGCAACCCCGGAGAGCCCAGCATCCAGACCAAGGACAGCACAGTCTTCCTCGTGGATGAGGAATTTCCCATCTACCAAGCCAGATTTTCCCTTTATTGCACCACAACAAAAGCAGGGGCCCAGAGAAGGCAGAGAAGCCAGTGGGCCAGAGTCAGTCCGACAGGGTGAGGCCCGCACCCGGGGAGCCTTACTTCTGGGTGAGGATCTGCACAAACTCCTCATAGTTCACCTGCCCATCCTTGTCCACATCAGCCTCGCGGATCATGGCATCCAGCTCCTCCTGCGAAAGCTGCTCCCCCATCTGGGCCATGGCCTGCTTGAGCTCCTGCACGCTGATGTGGCCGTCACCGTTGATGTCGAAGGCGCGGAAGGCGGCCCTCAGGTCCTCCTCACTGCCCCAGGCCTTCATCTTTTTGGCCACCACTGCCAGGAACTCTTGGAAGCTGATAACACCATCATTATCTGTGTCTACCATGGCGATGAGCGCCTTCAGCTCCGCCTCCGATAATTTCTTGCCCAACATCTGCATCACTTCACCCAGCTCCTGGACGTTGATGGCACCATCCCCATCCTTGTCGAATCTGGAGAAGGCCTCCTTGTACTCGGCCACCTGCTCTTGAGACAGCTCCTCAGCCATGTCTGTGGCCCTGCACCTCTGAGTTTGCTGACAACCTGTTGCTCCCAGGGATCGTGGTTCCGAGCTCAGAGCAGCCACTGGGCTCTGAGGCAGTGTCTGTCAGAGGGCAGAGCTGCAGGACAGCCTTACCTCAGAGTGGGAACCCCCTCCTTTTCTGCAACTGGAGCAGAGGGAGGAGAAAGGCTCTCCACCCTCCACCTGTCCTCAGGCAAGATCCTCCTCCCAGGGAGGGACAGACCTGCTATAGACAAGAAATGCAGGAATTGGAGTGGGAGGGCCCATGGGAAGAGTTGGGTGGGAAGCAGCATGGAATTACAGGCCTAGTGACCTCTCCTGGCCCTGATGGCAGACCACCCCACTGCAAGGACACCTGCTCAGAGCACAGTTCCCTTGCAACTGATTCTCACAGAGACCCGGACCCATGGGTTCAGGACAGCTTCCCCAATTTCGTAGGGACTGAGGGTAGAGAGGGGAAGGGGTGTGCGGAAGCCTACTTCAGGAGAACAGCTGTCCCCAGGAGGAGAGCTGCTCTCCTCTCTGCTCTTTCCCTAGGGGATGAGGCTGGTAGAGGGGTCTGTGGGAGAAATGAGTCTCCATGGGTAAAATTTTGGGCTTCATCAAGCTTCCAGGCCAGGGCAGACAACAGGTCTAGAGCAGCAGATGGGTTCCCTTCACTTTGGGAAGTTTTTCACTTCCAGAAAGCAAGGAGCCATGTTCCATTTAGAACCACAGCTGATGCTAAGCTGTTGCTTATCAAACGAACGTGCGAAGTGTGATTTCAGAGGCAGGACAAAGGCTTTTATATCTCCCTGCCAGGAGAGCCATCCAGCTCAGTGATCCCTTCAGTTCTCTTCCATTGCTAAGTCCAAGGTCCTCAGTGTAGATACCCTTGGGGAGAAGCGGCTGTGGTCCATTCACAGGGGGATGACACCGGGAGGCTGGAGTCTTAACAGAGTCGCCTGGAGACTGGCTGACCATAGAAGGCCAGCCCAGCTGATGCTGAGGGGCAGGAGGAAACAGAACAGGCACTGCAGTGTGGACTTGGCCTGCCTCTGGTTTAGCTGAGCATCAGCACTAAGCATGGTTACTTATCGGGGACCCCAGAGCCCTCCATCTGATTCACCCTCTGAAAAAAAACTCATCCCTGCCTATTGCCTAGAACAGCAAGGTTTAGACCAAGAGCTCAGCCCTTGGCGGACCATCCTCAGGTCCTTCCTCCTGCTGAGGGGAGGTTTGCCATGGACTCCCCACAGTGACTTTCTAAAGGAAGTTTCCTCTTGATCTCTATGGATTCTCATCCCCCCCTCCCATAAGGAATAAACTCCTTTACTCTCCTCTGGTTCAGCCAATCAAATAGAGCATTCTCTCATTCCCTAAAGTGTAGCCAGACAAACAGCCCTGTCTGCTTGTCATGGCACCCCCACCCCCACCTTATCCAAGAGTCCAGGGTGGGAGAGAGAGAGAGAGAGAGAGAGAGAGAGAAATGTTACAGTTGTCCAGCTACTTTTTTTTTTTTTTTTTTTTTTTTTTGTACTGGGATTTTATTTGGAGACAGGGTCTCACTAAGTTGCTTAGGGCCTTGCTAAGTTACTGGGACTGGCTTTGAACTTGCGATCCTCCAACTTCAGCCTCCCGAGGGGGAATTACAGCTGGCCAAAGTGTCCCCCAACTCCTTTTATAAAGAGTCTTTGAACAAGAATTGCTATCTCATCTCTACCGGAATAGTGCTGAGAACTCAATATACATTAAGCAACCAATTTCTCAATAAAACTGGCAACCAGTTTCAGGTGGAGACATCATTCCAGCCTAGAGACCAGAACACGGAAGCATCCTGCTGGGTAAGGACACAGGAAGGGTGGAACTTTTAATAACTAGATTCAACCCAGCTCCTTTATTTATTTTTTTTAAAAGAATATTTGATGATATCCATCAGTATTTGAAATTTCCTTTTCTTCTCCTCTTGTTAGCAGGACCCATGATTAAATCCAAATGCTTCATAATTATGGCCTTATTATTTATTATTCCCTGGCTGTTAAACAAACTTTGCAAATAGAAGACTCGAGTTCCTGGTTCCAGGTCGGTCACCCATGTGGAAACTTCCATCTCGATATCTTTACCTATTAACTAGGATGATACACCCACCATATCTAATGAGAGTACTTAAGATCAAAGTTTAAAGTTCAGAACCACAGAAGGTGTCATTATTCTGTGATGAACCTATATGTTCAAGGACAAGCTGGCTCACCCTTGATGTAAACCTCAGGAAGATATCCACTTCAAGAGGGAACACACTGTCAATTCTATTTTCATACCTTTGTTGCTTGACCTAAAAAAAAACAAGACTTGTCCACCTTGCGGTTGTTGAGGATGCCATTCCATGCACAGCAGGGGCTTCATTCAGAAAAGCATCCAGCTGATACCCACCATGGCACAGCAAGGTGATCATTCTTACTGACTCTCATATTCAAGAGATGGAGCTACCAGAAAGAAAAGTCCTGTGACTTCTGATTGTCTTCTTCATCCTTGGTCTGCCATGTTTGGATCCTGCTTCCTCTGCAAACCCATGCTTTCTCTTTTGAGAGCAGATATAAACACTGAAGTGGTTTCTTTACTCCTTCCCACTCAAACTCTTGCCTCGGTTAGTGAGCAGTCAATAATACGGACTCAGCCGCCAAGAGTGGGACCCACTCTCCCCTCCACTTTGGGTCAGTCATTCATGTGTAACCTACACTACAGAGCTTGATACTAGAGGTCAAAGTAGGTGTTAGAAAAGGGGACAACACTGCCTTTGTGCCAAAATCGAGGTAAGCTTGTGCAAGCCCTTTTCTTCAGCTGTTTTACGTGCAGAAGCCCAGACACAGAGCCCATTCCAGCTGTGTAGAAGAGGCAGTAGAAACCTAAGGATGACACAGTTCCATGGGTTCCTTCCCAGCTCAAGTTCATTCACTAGGCTGTGCTTCCTGAAGGCTCCCTGTGTGATAAAAGGAAGGGATACTGTTCACGCAGTGAGGGTCTCAAGGCGAGGGGGACCTGGCACTTGCTCCCTGTCCCCTTGGGGCTACTCGAGAAGCAAACTCAGACAGATCCATCCATCCCCAGCCATGTTGGCCGAGTGAGAGAGGCAGCACCTGGAACCAGGTGAGAAAGGAGAAGGTTGTGGGGTTGGAGGAGAGAGCAGGGGTGTCGGAAGGCCTGAGCCTCTTGACTGAGTATCAAAGGTGGATTCTCTTTCTCAAGACGTGTCCCCTCTGCTACCCTTCACATGTCATCCCCTGGTGAAGATACAGACTCTGCCCAGAGAGAATGACAGTGGCGCTGGCGGAGAAGGTGCCCCTTCAATTAAGAGGACCTCTGAGGGAATTGGAGGAAGGATGAAAACCTCTCCAATACTGCTGGAGCTCCCAGGGCAGGAAGGGGAGCATTTGTGGCCAGGGGGACTGCCCTATGCAATAGCTGTGTGCACTCATGTGTACTTGCGTATGTGGATATGTGCTTGTGTGTGTGTGCAAGTGTATAGGTGTGCATGTAACACCGATGTACACCTATGTAGGTGTACATTTATGTATGTATGTGTGCACTGTGCATGAGTGTGCATATATGAGTGTGTTTATATATATACATATGTGTGTGTGATTACATGTGCCCTATGTGTCTAATGTGTGTGCACTGTGTGGGGTGTGTGTATGTGTGCATGTGTTTAAGTGTGTGGTTGTGCACACAGGTGTTGGGAAGAGGCGTTTGGCATGGTTGTCATTTTGTTCAGATGTTTGGAATAAACGGCTAAAGTCGAGTCCTGCCTTCACATGAGCTTGGCCCCAAGAACAAATACACACTCCAGTGTTCCATTATTATTTGGCTCCTGTGAGTGAAACACTCATAAGAAACCCGTCAAACAGGTCTTGGCTCCTGTGACTTGCAGGAACCTGATTTCACCCTCGCACCTGAGCAGAGTCTGTGGTATTGGCACAGCCTGGCTCCCCACGGGGAAGTGAAGAGAGGTCTGTGTGAAGTCACTGCACCTCTCCAGGGCGTGAACCATGGGAGAGAACTCCTGGGACCAGCTTCACGAGCTCGGGGCCATCAGGATTTTCCTTGGTACTGGGCAGCAGAAATGGTAGATGAGTGTGGTGTACCGTCAAGAGGGCAGCTCCCAGCCCCCTCTGCCACAGCCCCTCAATGCAGCACAGTGTCCCCTCTAGCAGCAAGATCGTGTGGTTCAGTAGCAATGTGGGGTCAAGTCCTGCCTCCCCCATTGTCCTCCCTGTGCACCTGGGCAAGGTGCTTCCTGGCCCCATCCCTGCCTCATAGGGTCACTGCAGGGATCAAAGAGCTGCCAGGGAGGATTAGCTCAGGGCCTGGCTGCAGTGACATAGAAGCATCACTATCACCTGTCACCCAATTATCCTGCACCAACTTTCTGCTAGGTCCATGCTAGTCTTCCATCGCCTCTGGCCTGTCCTCTTCCTGGACAAAAGATAAATATCCTCACAGCAGGCCAGGGTGGCCATTCGAAGGGCTGAGAACATCTCCAGCAGAGGTAAGAAGTGCTGATTTCATGGGCACTAAGGACAGCGTTGGAAGTATTCCTGCTAGTGCCCACCACAGTGTGCTCCATGAATGTCGAACAGATTGGACAGATGGACACAGTCAACAGGAAATGCTCACGTGGTAAGGACTCAGAAGTTGCAGGTCACTGTTCCATTGCAGACCCCTGTCCAACCAACAGGGTGATTCTTGAGCTACAAAGTATAAAGTCACACCAGGGGCCCCTGGGAAATGGCAGAGGCCCTCCTCTCACAGAGCGGGTCTGTGCTTTCTCAGGTGAAGGCAGCCTTGGGGCTGATGAGGGCTGCAAGTGCCCACAGTCTGGCCTGGACTTGTCGTGTTCCTTGGTGAGAGCAGTCCTTCCCCATTCGCACCGTCGTTGACACACCTGGGAACTTGGCAGGACACACTGCTCCGTGTCCCAGACCCAGGGCCTACTCATCAGTCCTGACACA